TTGATCCCTAATCTATTGATTAAATAGTATTTAGTCCTTAACATTTTGTCCTGCCTTTAATTTAATTTAATTTATTTCTTATGCTCATTTTCAACCATATATTCATATAATAAAATAATTTACACTTAAATCTAAATTTTTTCATACTTTTTAACTATACTTCCACTAAAAAATACTATTTAAAACATATTTTTTTTCAAATTAAAGACCACTAAACAGGGGCTTTGTAAATAATAAATTAATGATTTGCCTTTAATTATAGTTATTCATTGAGTTTCTAACGCGATAAAGATTTACAAATGAATGTACAATTAGTTTAATTCAAAGATTTAATGTTTTCATTAAATCATACTAGAGAAATTTGAAATGAGACTTATTTTCGCAACCATGTCAGGAAAAATCATTGAAATTCGTGAAAAATATCATTATTAGAAACCAAATTGTGCCATTTTATTGTAAGGTCGAAGATCAATTAACTCCTTTATAACGTTTGAGGACTAAGATGATACTCAGTCAATAGATCAGGCACAAGTCTTACAGTTTCCCCACTAAATGAATCACTTCCCAATCGTGCCATTGGCCATTGCTGGCCTTAGCCGCCATTTGCCTTGCCTTTATTTCGGCTGTCACTTTATAAATGCGTAATGTGTATATACACACACCGCAACTCTTCAGTCTTTAAGGCATTTTTTGATCGCTAGAGAAAGGTGAACGGCAGAGAGAGAGAAGGATTCCAAGAATAAACAAGCAGCTGAACGAGAGAAAAATAAAACAATACTAAGAACAAATCAGGTATACTAAACGTATAAATATTTATACGTATTTATCTGAAGTACAGTTTTCTGTTGAAACGTTTATCATTTGTTTGAATTTCCCTTGCTGTTTCTTAAATTTTTTGGTATTTTGGACAGTCAATTCGTAGTCCACTTTTTACCACTCTATGGACGCCGACCGATCTGTGTAACAGTTACTTTTTGCCAGTTGTATTGGAAACAGCTAAAAGAGGTATGAGTTAATATCATAGTTAATTCTGCAATTTTTTGATAAATAGATTGATCTTTATACTGTTGCATTCGGGACAATTCATAATAGAAGATTCCTAATCTACAAAAATGTTTTACTTGTTTGGTTCTTTATATCTTCACATATATATCTATAAATGGAATAGGTGTATCTTATCCTTTTGATTGGTCGTTCCTTTTTAAAGTGAAGGGTTCCTTCTGAGAGTTTTGGAGGCTAG